CAGCCGGGACGCGCCGCGACAGCGACAGCGCTGCCCCCCGCTCCCGGCAGCACTGGGCTGGCGGCGAGTCTCTGGGGCAACTAGACCCTGTGTCTGCTCGCCAGAACGAGGAATGAAAACGCTTGCAAGTTTGGGCACTGCCTGTGATGGCAGAGGCGATTCTTCATACTTCCGTAGCTGGAGAAAGATGCTAATAGATGTGACTTTGTGTTGCAAACGATGAAATCTCTTTCCTATCCTGAAATTAGTAATTTCTTGGTGGTGACAGGTGTCAGGAGAATTAGCCATTGCTGTTTTATTTAAAGACTGTGGCTCTTATTCTTAATTAAAAAGCTGAAATTACTTTTTAATCACCACCTTAAAACTATTACCGTTAGCAGTATGTCAACTTAAAATAATCCTGACAAAATGGCTGAAGTTTCTGTGGCTACGAACTTCAGAGCCGCTGTATTTGCTGTCTCGTGACATGGTACGCTGAAAGTGGTCATTTAATGATCAGAAGAACTATGGGCTTGGCTGGTTTTTGCTTTGAGGTGGCACACACTATGCAGTGGCTATGTGTGATCTAGAAGCTGGTTGATTGCTTATTAATCGTGCACAAATAGTAAGAAGGGTGACTAGGAGAATGATAGAATGAGAAGGAAGAATTCACTGTGCTTTCATATAGTTGTCATGTGGTAATCACTTATTTTATTTGGCCCAGTTGCTTATTACAACATTCTGTCATGCCCATAAAATGGGGCTAGGCGCTGTAGCAGAGAGACAACCGTATTGTAACGGGCACCCTTGGGTGAGTAGTTCCTGGGGGGCTGGTTTATAATTAAAGAGTGGCCTTTGTGCAAAACTAATCAGCTATGGTGTTTCCATTCACTTGTTTACAGGGACCTGCTTTCCAGACTCGCTGGAATTCCAAAAGCAAATAATTGACATTACTCACCAGAAATAAATTGGCTTTTAACTGTTCTATTTGGTGTGGTTTATATCTGTATATAGTCCTCAGTGGCAGAATATAAGCTAAATTTTGCAAACTGTGAACCCTAATGTTAGGAGTTTGGGAATATAACTGTAGTTGAAAAAAGCAGGTGAGAGCATTAGTACAGCTGAAACACTGGTGCAATATGCAGTTAATTAGTTGATTTAGACTTAATAGTTACGTCTTGCCATGGTCAAGAAAATCTATGACCAGAATGGTAATCAAATTTATTTTGTATCTGTGGGTGCAGGGAAAATGCAAGCATGAGGTGAGATCTGAAGGTTCCCCCTTCAGTAACGAAGCGCTTAAAAGCATTAGTGGTTTGGCACAGTGGAGTAGGGAAGTGGTAAATGGAAAGGGTCGGATGCATGTTGGTAAGAGAAGTAATTAATAAATATTTAGTGATTGATTGTAAAGTCTCATTTCTAACAACGTCCCAGCACGTTATTATCTGACTGCACCGCAACTTGAAAATCTGTATGCAAAAAAGACCCCAAACACCCCCTGCCCATCCCTTTTCACATTAGCTTATAATCTTTCCTTTAACGATGCCATTGGTCTGAGGAACAAATGAAGCAGAGTGCATGTCTTACTGCTAAAAATCTTTGTGAAAGAGGAGAATGTGAAGTAAACTGGTTTGAACAAGTTTCATGTGGAAGCTGTGAAAGAAGAATCTCCTGTGGTTGGAAGGAATGGTGTCATAAGTTCATCTGCTTAGTCTGTTCTACACACCTGTGAGTCACTGTGTTTCTATGCAGCTGTAACATACCTACACTTAAGCATGAAAAAATATTTTGTAGGTGCGGGACTGCATTCAGAAAACGCTGACTGAGTGGAGCTCTAAGATTGGACAAGACCTAAATCAGGTAGGAGGGGTGTTATGCATGTTATCCATGTCACATGTGAAAACAGAGAAATATGTAGTTGGTTACAGCTTCTGAAATATAAATAAACCTATTAAATTTCTGTAAAATTATCTGCATCTTCAGTTATCTTACTTCTCCCACCACCAATTTTTTTTAATATTTAGTAAGTTTGGAGAGGTTAAGAAATAAATACCAGCTGAAAGAATCCTGTTGATGGCAAATAAGACCATTCTTAGCAAAATGAAAGTCCTGATTTGTAAGATTGCAAGGTAATTGTTGGGGTAGTCACAAAAAAACCCATAAAGTTTGCTAGCATGCTTGTAAAAACTCAATAGAGAGCTACCTAAACCATGGAGATGATAAACTAGATAGCTTAAGATCATCCTGTTTGGAGGGGAGTTGTGAACCACAGCCTTGGTTGTCTCAGAAATATTTCTGAAGATGCAGAAGTGGCAATTTTTCCCCTTAAGAGCTAAAGACTTCCTCATAATACTTAAAACCATGGGCATCTGACATCAAGATGTTGGTGTATTTGCCTGCTCCTCTTTCACTGTTGCTTCTCAAGTTCAGCAAAGCAGTAATAGGTTTCCACTAAATGCATTATGGTATGAAATATTAGCATGTTTCACTAAAAAAACCCAAACCTTAAACTTTCCTGAACATTTTTCTGGTTTTTTTATACCAGCTCTTGTGTAATGGTGGTATCAACTGCACATTGCTGCACTCCACACTGGAAGGTGGTGAGGCAGTCGGTGCTGAATGATTTGTGGACAATCTAGTCATTGCTCAAGAAGAGAACATAAATAAACATTTGTAAGAGGTAGTGATCCATTTAAAGTTAATTATTTAGTGTAAGCTAAGTGTTCCTGTCAAAACATGTTAACTGCATAATTCCAATTTCTTTTATGAATTATATTGGTTTCCAGTAATTTTTAAGAAGTTAACTTTTGTGTAAAATGCGTACTGTAGGCAATAACTCAAATATTTCCTTGTAGATTTTTTTCGCTGTAGGGCAGCAAAAGTTACCAAAGTGTTTTTGGTTGGGACACGGTGTGGGGGGTGTGTGTATAATGCAAAATCTCACGTAGGTAAAGACTTCGACAACTTTGCCACCTCACATGAGATGTCAGCCTAGTCTCAAATGGTGGCAGAGGGTGAAATCTCTGAAACTCAAGTCTTATGTAATTACTACAGGAAATACTGGAGGTTCTGGAATGTACTGTAGCTCAAGCTATAGAGAAAATAAATCCTGAAGAAAGGGATGAGTTGAAAGTATCAGGTAAGAATGTGGCATAAAATGGTTTCATATGCAGCCATTAATAGATGGTTCATATATATTTTTTGGACCGTATTTTGTAATTGCAAAGTCAAATGACATTGGTGCACACTGTCGTACTTTAGGTAATCTAGAAGTTGGCTAAGAAAGATTTGAATTTATATTTCAGGTTTTGACATTTTTCTAGTTTAACTTATGTCCCCTCAAGTAATTTTAAATGTATTTTGTGCATCTTTTGACTTTTCTGAAGCAAAATATTACAGATAAAACTGCAATTAAGAAATAGCATTGGAAGCACATTTGTTTGCATAATTTTTCCAGGTTGAATATGATGAAATTGAAGGAGGCAGTCCAAACTAACACTAGTACATTTTGAGTCTCTTAAGTTGTGAAGAGGTCTGTTACTACTATTAAGTTTGGGGGTTTTGTACAGGTTATAGTTATTGCTTAGTGTCTTGATACTTAAGTCCTAACTTTACAGCTTATTATATCATCTAACTGGGTCATTTCTTGTTTTGAGACTGCACAACAACTTTGAAATTTAAGCGAATGGTTCTTTAATGGGCAGTCACCTTTCAGGAGGTTGGTTTTTTTCCTCCAGTTTTTGCAGTAATCGGTGTATATTCTAAGAACCCTTTACCCAAGAACTCAGTGTGTATAGCAACAGTAAATAGCTATATATTTAATAATAGCTGGCTTGTTTAGTTATTGATTCCAGTTTCTTTGAAAATAGCAAAACTTTTCATCGTTGGATCAAACTCTTCATCGATCAGAGATGCAGTTGACCTGGGTAAGTGTGAAACTAACTTCTGGTAGGGTTTCTTTTTTACTTTAGTATTTAGAAATAAAACTAGAGCCTTTTCCATTCTAAAGGTGTATTTGGTGACTGGTACAAGTACATTCAGTTTTCCTATTAAGAGAGATCTAGATGGTCACGTCTATTTAGGTGTTAGTTCAGTCAGTAAGCTTATGAAATGTGGATCACTTTAACCTTGGGTCCATAAACTCAAATCTGATTCCCTGCTCCAGGCAGGAGCAAATTTTTATTTTTTTCACACAAAACCTGTTAAAAAGTGAATAGCATATGATGGTTTTTAGTAACAGTGATACAATAGTTCTTACCAGTTACTAGTTGCTGGTGGTTGTTAACATGATGAACTTTGTTACTAACTGTGCGGTATTTCAGAGATGATTTAGGAAATAAAACAATGCTGCAAGCAGCTGATGAAATAGTTAAGGTTTTGTTAGCCTAATGTAGCAGTAACTGTGGGCAGCACCCACTGTTTTAAAAGAATGTTGGGCATAACCACAGAACAGAAGGTCAGATAGCATTCTTTTCTATTGATACCGCAGTTATTAGCCTCTTTCCTGTATGTCACAGTACCATTTGTTAAAAAGACATTGATAGAATACTTCTCCAGAAGGAAATAATGTATTTAGCTGCTTAGTTTTATTCTTTTTGCTGTGCAGAAGTGGTCTCATGACTTGCATCTTTCCTCAAGCTCCATGATACTGCAAGACTTGCCACTTCTCTCTGGCAATTTAAATCTCCATATTCGGTGTGCCTGTGTGCTTTTAGTTTAGCTTCTCATATATATCAAATAGTTCTCCTTGTCCATGCCCTGTAGTTGAGTTAGAGTTCAGAGTGCAAGTTATAAATTTTGGAATCTCTCACTGTCTTCAGAGGGAAATACAGTTTTAACATTGAAAAGAACAAAAAAAACCTTGACACTTTGTTTGGTGGTGAGTTGTTTGTTGTGTGAAGGTGGTGGGTTTTTGTTTTTTTTCTAGACCTACTATTGAAACTTGGCTTCCAGCAGTATATTTGATTCTTTGCTAAAAACACGATGTTACTGTCCTTAACTGCTGATAGACTCAGTTGCAAACAATGAATAGGAAGCTAGCAAAGTGAAGCAGGAGGTGTGTTTTTTGCTGAATTTGAACAGTCATGCTGCTTATACTCATATCTCTCAAAAGATGTTTGCGGTGTCTGTTTTTTTCCTCAGCATGTTCTGCCCTTGGAGTTGCTCAGTTAGACTCAGTCATTATTGCCCCACCTCCTGTTGAAGATGGAGCTAACCTCTCCGTGGAGTATTTGCAACCTTATTGGCAAGAACTCGAAAATCTAGTTCAGAACAAAAAGATTGTTGCCATAGGGACCTCTGACCTAGATAAACCACTGTTGGAGCAGTTGTATCTATGGGCACAGGTGAGAACATACTTCCTACTTGTGGCATTTCTGGAACAGTGACTGTTGTTTTGTTGGCTGCCACATTGTCATAAATTTCTGTTATAAATGGGTTTATGTATAAAATATAAATTAGGCTGATATTTTCAGCATTTTACGGATGGTCACAATGTAGTTCAGCTTGTGGGAGGCTCACAGTGTGATTTGTCACTCATTCAGTACTGTTATGTAGAAGTTAGCCAAGGCTGGAAACCACAGGTCTGTTCAGTTGCAGGTTCTTTGAAGTACTGAAGGTTTGAGTTTTGAATGCTTTCATATTTAGGAAGGAGTATAAACAGTATTCTTAAACCTTCAGATTTATTCCAGTAACTCTGAAAATGTAGCTGTTTTCACTTGAAGCTGTGTTTATGAATGGGAGGGGTTCCCCTTGGAAAAATGCAGTTTGAATGCTAAGTAAGCTTAAACCTAAGGAAGACTACAGGCTGTGAATGAAGTGGCACAACGTATTGTTGTCCAATGTGACTAAGTGCCCTTAACATTGGAGTGATGGAGTTCTGTACTAGTATGTGCCCATACTCAGTGAAGCTTGTGGATTTACTCTTTCCTTATTGGTTCTTTGAATACTCCTCTTAGGACATTTCTGCTGTAGCATATGAACAGACTGTATATATAACAGGTCCTGCTGGGAGTCCTGATTTGTGCTGGTTGTGGTTTAGGCCCAGCTGGC